ACATGAAAATGAACTTCTTTCCGAATCAAATTTTTTCTTTTTTTAAATGTTTTTGGGAGTTCTTTTGGACTTTCACCCTTTTTTCTTTGTTTTTGGTAAATCGCTGCGGTTCATTTTTTTTTCCTTGCGGTGTTCACTGGTGCTGAGTGCTTAATTGTCCCGTTGAGTGTCTCTCTGTTGGCTGTGCTGTTGGCATGCCCTCATTTTATTTATTTTTCTGCTAGAGGCATCGATGGTCCGCGACGACGATTTTTTTTGGTTCCCATTGCGGTGGTACGAGGGTGACTGGGCGCCGGCCTGCTGAGTGCACTCGGATGGGAGCGGATGGTGTGCGCCGTGCCTCACTGTGGGTGTGGGACGCCACCCGCCACGACCTGCTGTGGGGCGTAATTCCAATTTGTCGGGGAAGAGAGAAGTAAAGTGCAGCGTCGTGGACTTGGGTGCGCTCCGTCCCTCTCGTTGTGGCCGTGTATGTGTGGTGCGCATGGCTCTTTCTTGCGGTGCGAATTGGATGGCGGTGCTTCTGCGTGCATTGTGCGGCGGGCCTCTTTTCTCCATTTCTTTACCCTTTTGTGTATGGGAAGGTTGTGGGAGAAGATGTGTGCGGGGGAGTGAGCGTGCGTGGCTGCCAGCACCGCCCTGTGCATTGAGGACTTCCATACACGTGGCTTTGCTTGACGGCGTTTTGCGGCACCCAGGGCATGGCGAGGAGGAGGATGGGGAGGATCTGTTGTGGGCAGAAGGAGGATGGTGGGACAGTCCTCTTCCGTGTCCTTCCCGGTGCTGTTGGCAGTAAATACTGAGAGCGTAAATTTGAGCGAGTGCGGGATGAAAGGTTTATGCCGCTTTGTGTGTGCTACTCAATCGTCGTCATTGCACGCTGTCGTTACGCTGCGTTGTGGTGCGGTGCCGTTTGATGAGGGAGGGGCGCGATGCCACGGCTGCTGCGCACCACAACCATTTATTGCCTCAGCACCGGCATTGTTGTTTTTCAGTTTGTGTGAATTTTTTTTTTTTTGCTTCACGATGAATTTGTTGGAGGAGCTTTGGTTTTGGTGCCTGCTTCACGGTGTTTCGCTTTGTGTGTCGGTTGCGGTGCTTCCACGTGGCGCCAAAGCGTTTGGTGGGGTGTTTATTCTTCTTTTTGCGCCTTGCAGCTAATCTTGTTTGGCCATGGCGGCATCAGTGGGATTCTGCGACTGTGCGCCTGCCGTGCGTGTCTCATCTTTTGCCGTTGCTCCCTCGTTGTGTTGGTGAAGGAGGAGACGAGCGACGGCGTCGGTGCAGTTGCGCCCCCGTAGGAGAGGGAAGGCACCGACCGCTGCTGACGGAGACGGTCTTTGCTGCAGGCGATCTGACGGGAAGACGTCACCGGTGTTACAGTTAACCGAGATGGATGTGTGCCGCACTGCGTCTCCCACCCCTCTCATCATCCCCTCTGTCCACTGCAGTCACACACCACACGCACCGCAGAGCAGCGGCGCGACCACCATCCGGATGTCTGTGAGCCGATCGGAATGTGCAATCGGTGTGGGCTCTTTTTCCCCGTGTTTGAGTGCCGCCGCCGTGCTTCTTTATTTTTCCTTTGTTGTGTATGCCGTGCGTGTATGGTGCCGCTGCTTGCTGCGCAATGCCGACTCGCGTGAACTGGAAACGACGTTTTGACTGCTGGCGATCGGCGAGCTCTCCACTCCACTTACGCAACACCAACACCAACGCCTCTCGGACG